TGCGTTAATTTAAAAGTATAATTTAATATGATAATAACAGTTACAACATCTTGTGTAATTAAGTAAAACAATAAAACATTTATGACTGTGATTGTCTGTGCCGCTGTAATAATATATATTTAAGAACATTTCTCGTATAAAATCATTTGATAAAATCTTTCTTACTTGAATAAAATGACATAATTATAAAAATCTGGTCTGGATTAGTGACTTTGTTTCTTCATATCGTGTAAATTAAAACACTGTTACATATTATGCTTGATTGTTTAAAAGTAAACAAGTACAACATTTTTTATTAAGTCGTTTTGATGCACACTCTGCTGCGCCAAAGTTTGACAACTGTCAAATGTAACGCGACCTGTCATGTGAACGTACTTTAAGTGACACAAGTTCCTGGTGTAATTTCAATCAAAAACTAACTCTCTGACTCTTTAAGCTAGAGATTTAAAGACACATTTATATTGCCTAAATAATTATTTCACACTAAATAAAAAAAAAAGTCTTTAGCTGTAATCGCTAATGTCAGTAGACGTCCTGTATTTATTTAGTTAGCTATTATTCATAATGAGAACGACTGCTTTTGAATGTACTTAACAACCAAATATAATACGTGGTTAATTAATTAAAAGTAATAAAAAGAAGGTTTCGTTTGTTTTTAAATGAAATAAAAAAAAACACCTCAATTTACTTTTCCTAGGTTTTCTTGTAAGGCTCATGAAGACCTTGTTGGGCTGTCAGTCAAAACTAATCATTTCATTTCATCATTTCATTTCATCATTTCATTTCAAGAAAACAAATAACTTTATTACATAGGTAGACAGTTAACAGAACTTCAACATAATTACTTAACAATTTACTAACCAATAATTTATTTAAAACAAATTGATTAACCATCGTATTAACTTAGTGCATGCAGTGTTCTTTTTTAAGTAATGTGTTTTTGTATAAGTAATAATGTACTCACTGTTGAAGAGAGAAATAAATAAATAACATAAAAAATTCGAACACTCGCACACATTATAACTTTTAGTAAACGGCTTACTGCGACAAGCAATCATCATTTTTAATCGACTATTATTGACATATTTACTAATTCGAATATTAAAGTCATGACTTGATTCATTCGACCAACACAGTACGAAATATAGTTACTAAATATAATTCTTTTTTGTTATTGTTATGTTTTGGTACAAAAAAAAATACTGTTCAAAAATTCAGATTTCTTTCTCTTCTCTAATGATAGCCACTCTGACATTTCTGTCAAATTATCGTCATTTCTAATCTTATTTCGACACCGTCGGGAAGTGATGGTGCTCTTAGAGCGACAGTACACGGACAATTTCAGTGCTGATTGCACTAATCTGCGGCGGCACAGAATTTCCGACAGGTAGTTGTTTAGTTACAACATTTTGTAAAGACTGTTTTAACCGTTAATGAACACTTATTAAGTAAGTATGTATTTACAGGAGTTAGTTCTCATAATGTTGTAATCAAAATAGTGTAATAGCGTATTAGAACTAAACTAAGCATAGTTTATACTTTGGGCTCAAGAAACCTGATAGAAATACTTGGATGCCTACATTTCATTTTGTAAATACAAGTAGTAACCAAATAAACTGAATTTCACTGAAGCTTTTTTATTTATTCTTTATTGTACACACTGAACACATACATATATATATAAGTAATAAGGAAATGTCAGGTACAAAGGCGAGCTTAACCCAAAACTGAATTTTCTTCCAGCAAACCTTGAGCGAATAGAGCACAGCAGAGAAACGTAAGGGCACAGTCATGCATTTTTGTTAATTTATATTAATTTAACACTCATTTTTTACTTATGTTTTATGCATACTTTATATCTTAAAATTCAATTTAGTTCTACATTTATTAGACTACATCGTCACATAACTATCGTGAAATTTAGTGTGAAGATCTTTTTTTTTTGTCTGCAACAATATTTTTTTAATCAATAGTGAAAAGGTTGATCTAATCGTGTGTAGTCGTCTTAAGAGCTAAAGTAAAATTATAAATAATGGTTCGTAATGGCAGTACACAGTTCATTGCTTATGGTATTAAATAAGAAGTGAGTGTAGATTAATGCACATAAGCGTGTGATGACGGATTAAGAATACGGAGTGTCACCACCCCTATTCATCCCGTGGGTGTCGTAAAAGACGACTAAGGGAATAATCTAAGCAGGACAAAATCAAGGAAGAAGGAAAACTTGAAACAAATCCTATACCAACCCGTCTGGCCAGCGTGGTATAGTAGGCCAAAACCTCCTTTCTAAGGAGAGGCCTATGTCCAGCAGTGGACTATTAAAGGTTGTTGATGATAATGATGTGATGCACAAAAGCGTACTATTTCCGTAAGTTACACGTACACGATGACTTTCTAAGAAAACTATTGGCCTATTTCTAGAAGCTTCTTTTACTTATTTTGAAAGAAACAAAAAAAAACAAAGAGCCTTAAAGCTTATTTAATAAACATACATTACATTCTAAATACAAATAAAAAGAAAATCAAACTATGAAGGACAATAGCACCGCAAATAAAGAAGCGAAAACTTGCCACAAGCCGTCTGGCCAATGTGGTATAGTAGACCAAAACCTCATTTCTAAGTAGAGGCCTATGTCCAGCAGTGGACTATTAAAGTCTGTTGATGTGATCTGATGTGATATTCTAAATATAACGTATAAGTATGTAAATATACCTCTGCATGAGTCAAAAACAGGTATTCGCTCAGCGTAATGATACTACAACGAAATAACGCTGGTATTCTGTTAATAACTAGTGATATACGCGAGCGATGAAATGTCAGGTTATCACGATAAGAAAGAAAAGGAAAAAACACTATTACCAAAATTATTACAAGTCAATATAAAATTATTATTGATAAAATAATGTATATAACATACAACTATGTATTCAGCATTCATTTAAAATAAACGTAATTGTGCGTATATATTACGCAGCAATTAAACGTTGGTTCGTCTAGAATATTATCTATACTAATATTATAAAGCTGAAGAGTTTGTTTGTTAGAACGCGCTAATCTCAGGAACTACTGGTCCGATTTGAAAAATTCTTTCAGTGTTAGATAGCCCATTTATCGAGGAAGGCTATAGGCTATATATCATCACGCTAAGACCAATAAGAGCGGATCACCAATGAAGAATATTTCAAAAACGGAGAAAATTTATTACTATTGAGAGACGCAGACGAAGTTGCGCGGGTCGGCTAGTGTACTATAAAATACTGATTGTTAAAATTAGCAATGTACTTCTGTGTGTCAATGCCTTTTTAATCATCAATAACTGGAGCCAACAACAGACTTTTATCAAGGAACAAATACAGACACCACAGCTTGTTGTATCGAACCCAAATAAATTAGGAACAACTTGACGACCGAAGGGGTAGTGGTTTGTGTAACCGACTGTATTCCAAAGGTCGCGGGTTCGATTCCCGCTCAAGTCAAACATTTGTGTGCAAGAACATTTAATGTTTGATTTGGTCTATGTATAATAAGTATGTATTTACAAAAAAACAGTATATATATATTAATATCAGTTGTCTAGTACCCATAGTACAAGCTCTGCTTAGTTTGGGACTAGGTGGCGTTGTGTGAATGTGGTACAATATTATTATGATATTATAACAACGGCAGGATAATTGTTATTCTAGAATTGTAACATTACTTATGTGGAACCAATGGAACAAAATCAATTGTGCATATGACTTGGTACTTGGTAAAATCTTCCACAGCTATATATACATAAGTACATAAATTTTATTACATTTACACAGAGCCGCGATACGAAGGTCATATATAAATATATATATAACACTTCTATAAACTAACTGAGATGAATAAATTAACCATAAAGGTGTTAAGAGCAGGGTTCTAAAATTATACAGAAAAAAAGGAACATTAACGCTCTTCAAAGTAATGATCAAACATCCCACATAATTTAAAACGTTCAAAAGTACATACACAAATGTTATTTGCATAATGATATGTGATTTCTGCGGTTAATTACATATATGGACAGAGCGATATTTTAAAAGTATACATCTGTGTCAAGGAACTAACTACGCTCGTAATGATATCAACAAATTAATAAACCGCAGAAATGTTGTAAGTTTTTTAATAAAATTATCAATCAAAATAGATTATTGGATGCTGACAACACCGATCTCTCACTTTATAATCTAAGTTACAAGTCTAAGTTAAGTTTGTATTAATAACAATACAAAGTCGTCTAATCCTAAACTAGGTAGAGTCTCTACACATTATGATAACCAGACTGCTGATAAACATACTTACAAATTTCTTAAAACATACATATTAATGACACCCAGACACAGGAAAAATGATCGTGCTTATTACACAATTATTTGTCCTGGGTGGGAATCGAACTCACGACCTCTGTCTTAGCAGTCAGGGTCACTAACCACCAGACCAACAGGGGTAACTTAATTTAAGAGATTCATTGTACGTAAATACGTATTTTATGTGATAATAGAATTATACCTACATTTTAATAGTTTAACTTATTGTTCACAAAAGTTATTTTTAAAAACATTATAATGTTAATAGCTTTTTTTTGTTGGATGAGATACCAAGATTCCAAGCAGTAATAATCAAAATAAAAACTGTTATATAAAGATTTCATCCAAAACAACTAACATTGACATAAATTTATTACATACATTTATTGTAGTAACGATTGTTAACGTGAAAAATCCAAAAAATTACATTATTACCAAAAATCATTTAGTTTTGTTTTTTAATTTGACAAAAAGTTTCGCTCGCTCCATCAATCTGCTCTTAACGGTTAACCTTTGCCCATAAGAAAAAAAAATAGTTCATTTGTAACCCGAATTCGTCCTCGTAGCGTCCGATAGTAAAGTAAAAGTAGAAGGCTTCATTCTCCAGTATATAAGCGAGCCACACAACACACAGGCATCACACATCAACAAACCTTACAACGAACAACATGGCCAAGTTTCTAGTAAGTTGGAGTGCAGTGATATGTGTTAACGTGATTGTGTTCTCAGTGAAATAGTTGAAACAAAAATCTGGATCGGATTCACCAAATAATAATAAAATTGTACTAAAAAAACGCTACGACGAAACAGAAGTTTAAAAATGTTCTGTAAAAATTGGATTTGGTGATATAAATCTGTAGATAATTTTTCGATGGATTAAGTGACGACATCTTTTTTGAAATCGTGGTGTTCTTTTTATTTAAATTTTTGATTTAAGAACGCATTTTTTGAAATAGTTTGGTTCAATGCAAATTTAATTTTCTCAAAAATTAATTTGATCAGGCAAACGAAAAAGTTTTGATTAATATCAGCTGTATATTATAAGGTATTCATTTCTCAACAGGTCGCCCTTGCCCTCTTGGGTTGCGCTGCTGCCGAACCCCCAGTGGGATACAGCTACTCCGCCCCCTCATCGGTGATCTCTGGCGGAGGTATCAGCGGTGGCAGCGGACATTACTCATCAGTCCCCATCGGTCACCAAGAAAGCGAAGGCTACCACGTCGACCCTCATCTCCTCTATAAAATCAAGAACATCATCTTGAGGGATGAGATCCAAAACCAAGGCTCCAGCGGTTTCAGCGGCTCCCACGGCATTTCTTCCCACTACGGTCCCCCTGCCCCAGTCTACGGTGTACCCCACGACAGAATCGTTGGCATTGAGCTCGACCATGTTCAACAGGCTATTCAAGTCGCTCAGTACCACCAAGCTGAAGAAGGCTACGCCAGTGGCTATGCTGGTGGATATTCTGGCTACTCCAGCGGCGGTCATGGATACTCAAGCGGTGGTGGCCATGGATTCTCCACCATCGGAATTCCCTCCGGATCTTACGGCGTCCCCGTCCCCTCCTCTTCCTATGGACACCCCCACTAAACGATTCAAAATGTTAGTCATTACATCTCATTTTAATGTAACTCATGTGATCGCATCTTAGATGTTATGTATTATATTTGTTGTTATAAGTTTCTGTAAATAAAAACAATCTTTTTTGTATGAAATCTCCTCATTTTGGTATCCGAAGCTCTTTTATGACAGACACCAGAAACCTGGGACCTGTCACTACCAAAGACAATATATCTTGTTAAAAAAATCTTTAATACGAAATAAAAACATGTTTTAGTGCCTTGTAGAGTCAGTCATATTCCCTATCGAAAGTAGTTTTCGATAAAATCGAAAGTGCTGATGTCACCGAACGACTTTATGACATGTCTGACGTAATTGACTCACAATTTAATCGTAATTTAAACTTAGTTTATCGACGTTACTTTTACTAGTTACGCAGACGAGATGATTCATGTATAATTTCAAAATCCGATGACCGCGATACCGGTCTAATGTAACACAACCTTAAGCTGATGAAGAGTTAGAAATTGTAAATCGAAAAACTGCTTTCGAAAATTAGACAAAGGATTAAATAAAAATATTGTGTAAAAACGCCCAGTTTTGTGGAGTTTGCAACAATTTCGATCGGATTGTTAATCTGAGTGCAGTTTGCACTTTCTCCCTGCAGCTCCGCTTGTTCCAAATCTGAGAGCGACTGTTGTTACGCAATACGCGTAAGAAGGCCGAATGATCTGGCCGAGTCCATTCTGGAGTATCTTGTTTAGGTACATCACAATATTGTGTTGCATCACCTCTGTTTTTGCCAATTAGCATGTGTCGAAATAAGGTTTGTTTGAAAAAAGAATGTGTATTTTCTGTAAAAATTTAATACATTGAAGGATATGAAGACAGGTTTCTGTTTTAAGTTTTTGCTAATAGTAACAAAGTATAAGTTTTCGTTAGTGTTCAAAGCTTAGATTTAAATGATTTAAAGAGTACATCATCATCATTGACAGCCTTTAGTGGTCCACTGCTGGACATAGGCCTCTCCTTTCTAAGAAGATTTCTTTACGATTATGTAATACGTAATACACGGCCGTGTTCAAAGGATAACCATATCACCATAGCCAGCGCAACTGGTCGTAACGTCAATAATTCAGAGTTGCGAGTATATAAAACCCATAATGTGATCGGGATAATCCCATATATATAAATAATTATAAATAATTCAGTGGTAAAGTTTAAAACTTTGTATGGCTTGAGTGTCTTCAACATATCTGCACCTACCTCATTCTTTCTCAGCACCGCCTAATCGGTCGACTGGCAGAGAATGCCTTAGGCATTAAGTCCGCCGATGCATGTACTTGTGCAAAAATTTATAAATAAATAAATAAATAATATAATATAAAATATCTTACACATCTCACACACGGCCGTCTGATCCCAAACTAGGTAGAGCCTGTGCTATGGTAACCAGACTGCTGATAAACATACTTATATATATTTTAAATACATACATATTATAGATAAATTACACCCAGACACAGAACAAATGACCATGCTCGTCACACAATATTTGTTCTGGGTGGGAATCGAACCCACGACCTCTGGCTTAGCAGTCAGGGTCACTAACCACTAGACCAACAGGCCCGTCGCCTAAATATCTCTGATACGGACGACGTACGATATCAATTAATGTTTTACCGGATAAGAAGTAGGCTTAATGAATTTCAGACCACAAACTACCTTCATGTCAAATAACATCCTGACTCTCTGTTCTAACACGATTGAGTAACGAACATCCAAACACAACACAAACAAACTTTTGCGTTCATAATATCAGTGAGATGATAAACATTATGCAATTTTAATCAACTGTAACACATGAATTGGGTATTTTGTATCATCATTTCAACAGCCCTTGATACATACAACTGCTGGACATAGGCCTCTCCTCAGAAAGGAGGTTTTGGCCTACTATACCACGCTGGCCAGACGGGTTGGTACAGGGTTTGTGTCAAGTTTTCCTTCTCTCTGCAGTGCGGTTGTCCTGCGTAGTTTGCTCCCTTAGTCGGCTCTTACGACACCCACGGCATAAATAGGGGTGGTGACACTCTGTATTGTTAATCCGTCACCGGATACGTTTTGTATATTTAAAATCAAAGCCGACAAAATGTACAAAAGAAATAAAATTACAGTATTTTTTTCAGATCGTGTCACTAAAATTCATAATCAAATTTAGAGTACACATTTTCAAATAAAAACAAAAAAAAACTACATTTGTAACTAAAACTGTATTTACTTAAGCAGACCAACAAGCCACAGTTATGAATTATCTTATTACAAATCATATTTAATTAATTCATTAATAAAATATTTATAAACATGATTATGACACAGCCATTTTTGTTTTACATTTTAAAACATTTTATGTTTTTAGTAAATATCTTCTAGTTAACAAGTCAGAACATGACTTCAATCAAAAAGTATGATAGTATTAGATAATTAGAGATTTTGTTATGTTAATGTGACTTTGGTTGTTCGACATTCATCCCTTAACTAATGAACCGTGGTCATAAAAAAAATTTTACTTGTTCTAATGTAGCATTAAGATAATTCATAACTTAATTAGTCATAAAGCACTTTACGCAGCTGAAGGGGCTACCAAAACTGCTAGTAATGTCAGACTGCACTGATGGTGTAGTGGTTTAAACGGTCATCTCGCCGGTTCTTACTGCGCTGAGGGTTGAGGATTCGATCCTCACATGGGACAACATTTTGTGTGATCCATAAATTGTTGTTCTGAGTCTGCCGGGAGTCTGAGTCATTATCAACAGACTCTACTAGTCCACAGCTTCACCACTATTCTCTAAGGAAATAGCGAGAAATATAATCAGCGCTGTACGCAATGCTGTTTCCTTAGAGAATAGCACTAGTGGACATAGGCTTCTTTTTAGAAAGGAGGTTTTGGCCTACCATACCACGCTGGCCAGATGGGTCGGTACAGGTTTTGTTTCAAGTGTTCCTGGTGTGTAGAGTATGACACATTGAAGTCGGTGAGGTTTTATATAAAAGTGCTTGTTTCCTGTGGGAGAAAATTATTAGACCAGTCAGGGAGCTTATTTTGATAACTTGTTCTATATGTATATACAATTAAAATTAAAGTAAACACACATTTTACCTAACATAAGTGAGTGTTTATTCATCCCCTGGGTGTCGTAAGAGGCGACTAAGGGAGAAAACTACGCAGGACAACAACACTGCAGAGAGAAGGAAAACTTGAAACAAACCCTATACCAACCCGTCTGGCCAGCGTGGTATAGTAGGCCAAAACCTCCTTTCTAAGGGGAGGCCTATGTCCAGCAGTGGACTATTAAAGGCTGTTGATGATGATGATGATGAAGTGAGTGAATGTCAGATTATAGTCACGTTTGTTTTTGTAACGATTGTATAATCTGTAATATACATGTATAATATGATAAACATGTACTATTTGTTAATATGCGAATGTGTGGCACCGTGACGTCGTTTATGCATTTAGATGTCTTTATTATGTATAATGTTTGTATGTCATATTGTTTATACGAGTGGGTCATGTCTATCAGAGCAGAGACGCTATTCATACTACAAATATCTTGAGTTGGATTGAATTTCTTACTATAATATTCCATTATTAGAATTAGGCGTGGAGTTATTGTATTCGTGGGCCGTAAGTTTGAACTAACTAAAACAGAGTACTATATTCTGTTAAGACTTTAAAATGTACTTTAATGGGTACAATCTATACAAATAAATAAAATTTAAGTGTCTGTTTGTAATGTCAAAATAAAAGGTTTATTTCATGCTTACACTTACAACACACACACATATGTTCATGCTTACACTACTTATTAGGCGGACTTTTTAAGGCTTTTATCCCCGTGTTAAACGCCCATATTTTACCGAATAAAAATTAAGCCCACTTATGTAATAAATGGCAGGTCTAACGCCATAATCTGGGCACATGGCACATAATAATAATAATATTCTACCACATTCACACAACATGGCGTTGTCCCAAGTTTTTTTTTCTTTCTCTAATTATCTGAAATAAATTTCTTTTTTTTTTAATCTCGTATGCTATACACATCTACACATCTCAAACCAATATACTTAGACATACAATTAACACAATGCTCCCACACAACACACGAAATCATATACTACCACAGCAAATTTTATTATTCACACAAGCACTCTTATACTCGTAGCTTCTGGTTTCTCCTTAGTTTTAGTTAATTTTTATATTTATTCCTTAAGCTAGATCTAATTTCAATCACAACATTTTGCTTTAGTATGTTAAGGTATTTGCGGAAGGGCCATGGTGGCCCGTTATACAGGTTGTGTACTAGCACAAACCTACATCAGGCACCAGTCTCTCACAATGTTCAATATATTGGCACATCATTGTTTCTTGATTTTAAGAAAACTATTGTGATAAGAAAATAAATTGCCATACGGTCATCATCACCACATCAACAGCCTTTATTAGTCCACTGCTGGACATAGGCCTCTCCTTAGAAAGGAGGTTTTGGCCTACTATACCACGCTGGCCAGACGGGTTGGTATGGTTTGTTTCAAGTTTTCCTTCTCTCTGCAGTCCTGTTGTCCTGCTTAATTTGTTCCCTTAGTCGGCTCTTACGACACCCACGGGATGAATAGGGGTGGTGACACTCTGTATTCTTAATCCGTCACCACACGGACCATACGGTCAACCTTTATATTAATAATAAGGGCATATATTTTCAGAGGCCTATTTTGGCATCTAAACGAAACTTTTGAGAGTGGTTTCGACGCAAACAATTTTTTTTAAACGCCCTAAAGTACATATACACTTTTTCTTGTAAATATATACAAATAATAATAATATAATAACGTAGAACAAATTAAACATTAAATGTTCGTGCACACAAATGTTTGACTTGAGCGGGTATTAAACCTGACCTTGGCGACCTTTGACGTAGCAGTTTGCTATACAAACCACTACACCATCCGGCCGTCACATCCAGGTT